TGAATCTTTTTTGTCGAATAACCAAAAAAACTAAAAAGATATTATCGAGAAATGCGTTAATGTAGAAACGACAATAAATTAAAGACACATGAAATAATGACACTACATAAATATTTTCTAATCATTTAGACCATACCATCTCTATGGTTACACAAAATAAAATAAAACTACTATTTCCAAAATCAGATCACTTTAATTAATCTTAGTTCTCTGCACCGATTTGTATAGTTTTAAATAGAAAATAAAGAAAACCCTAGCCGCTCTCAAAATTTTTGTTTTTTCGTCACCATCAAGGTACCTCTCCCTCCCGGCCGTGGTTGTAAGGAGCCTTATGACAAGAAAATTGAAGGGGAGCCTCCCTTTCCGCTAGTGTCCTCTCAAACATATCCCTCTTATTTTGCTACTCATCTTTTTGGGTAAATATTTTCGGTTCTAGTTTGGAAAGTTAGCAAAAACACAATTACTCAGTTTAGGTAAGTGAAAGCTCTACATCTGTCAAAATCTCTGAAGAGATTCTCGAGGACCTTAATCCTCTATGGAGGAACTTCACATAGGATGATTTCTCGAAACAAATCTATAAAATATTTGATTTTAGAAAGCAAAGCTTCAAAAATCAGTATTTGTGAGTCAGTAGCACAACTATGAAATTCATAAACTTTGATCCAATCACTTGCTACTCTTTAGCGACATAAGATTATAGAACCTTGCAAAAATACCTATGGTAGTCAAAGTAAAACCCCAACATTTTACAAATCCCAACCAACCTTGAAGTCCATACCCTAAATTTCAAGAATATCCCAAAGATACTATTATGATACAAGGGGTTTAACGATTCTTCTATCAAATAGATAAGAACTCAAAATTTCTAAAATTTTGTTCTTCATTGCTCTTACAAATTTTGTTTATATGGATCACAGTTCACTTGGAGGCTGGAGCAACAAACATGACAAGAGCCCACTAAACAAAAGAAATTGTACATCATTCGGAAATGTTAGACTTCAAAGAAATAATAAAAAAAAGTTTCTTCACATAGATCCTATAAATCTACTTCGTAAATTGAACTCCTCGCAACCAAATATGGGAATGCAAATTTCGTATCAATCCCATCTATCAATATTAAACAACTCTTCGTCAATTCTAAGCCACTAAAAAAATGTGAATAGAGATACACATTGATTGAAATCAAAATTTTGAATCAAACAAGCACAAGAAAAAACCTAGTGCATATATATATATATATATATACCCTCTATAAGGATTGAAGGTTACTAAGAACAAATCGATTCATCCGCTATATACTATTCATCAAATAAATTTTAGTTATTAGTAATGGAATGACAATAAACATCTTTATAACATAGATTTACTCATTTGGAATTTTGGATTATACAAAATGGACTATTCCTCTACAATTTTTTCGTTTTGGAAATCGGAAATATAGAAAAAAGTTGGATGCATTGTTTAATATCTATAGACCTATTGGGCCTGTTGTGAGCTTCGTAAGGCCCATAAATTCAGATTTGCTTCACCTCCTAAACGGTACCGGTTAATGGACATAGGAGGAATTAGAAATTAAGATCCTCGGATTCGACTTCTCTCCGTTGTCTCAATCGCGACCAGATATCTCTTGGATCAAAACCCTAGCTCCAAATTCCCCCAAATCTGATTCTTTTCCTCCGAACAAGCTTTTGTTGAATTCTCAAAGCAGCGAAAATGGTGTTGGCGGAGCTAGGTGGGCGGATTACCCGCGCGATACAACAGATGAGCAATGTGACAATTATCGATGAGAAGGCTTTGAATGAATGTTTGAACGAGATCACTCGTGCTCTGCTTCAATCCGATGTTTCGTTTCCTCTTGTGAAGGAGATGCAGAGTAATATCAAGAAGATCGTCAATCTTGAAGATCTAGCAGCTGGTCACAACAAGCGCCGGATCATTGAGCAGGTTTCATTTTTTTTCCCAAAGTCTAATTCTTTGATCGATTTTTGTAATTGGGTTTGTTTGTGATTCTTGTGTTGTTTCTCTCAGGCTATCTTTAGTGAACTTTGTAAGATGTTGGATCCAGGGAAGCCTGCGTTTGCTCCTAAAAAGGCTAAAGCTAGTGTGGTTATGTTTGTTGGACTACAAGGTGAGGTCTTTGTTAGATGATGTTTATTCTTTTTGTCCAAATTGGGTTTGTTTTCTAATGTAATCTCAACTTTTTTGTGATTGTGTTTTTAGGTGCTGGAAAGACGACAACTTGTACTAAGTATGCTTATTATCATCAGAAGAAAGGGTACAAACCAGCTCTAGTTTGTGCGGATACTTTCAGGGCTGGTGCGTTCGATCAGCTGAAACAGAATGCTACCAAGGCTAAGATCCCCTTTTATGGAAGGTACTTTTCGGTCAACCCCTTTGCGGTGTTTCCTTTTTATTAAGATGTATTATATCTTACTATCAGCTTTCTTCTTGCGTGTTCTTTAGACCTTTGGTGGCCTTTCCAAAGGATATTATTAGCTCTCTTATAGGAGTGTCTGTGTAAAAATGATGGAATTTTCTTTGAAACGGTAGAGGCAAGGTATAATATTTATGAAGTAGGTTTGGTTAAGGTCAGTAGCTGCAAAAATCTGGACTGAAAAGGACTACTGTTACTTAATATGTTTCTTTTTCTCACCATCCAGTAGGTTTTGTCATACTTCTCTAGTTCTCTGTGTGCCGCTTAAATTATGGGTTCCTTTAAGCCCTTTTGCCTGTTCTTTCTTGTGCTCTTTTATCGGAACTCATTACACAGTGCCACTCTATAAAAAGAATTTACGTCTTTGTCGAAAAGTTCAACAGTATGCATAAATGAATCTTTTGAGGTCTTGTGGTCTCTTCTGTTTCTATTTGCAATTAGTGCTACTGTGCTATTTGTAGATTTGGATTTACTTTAATGTAACACAAAGAAAAAGAAAAAATAAGAAGACATTCTGGATTAAATGTTAAAACCATTCTCTAGGGCGTACTGTGGTAGCAGAATGCGCTAATACTGAGTTGTGATTCTTGCAGCTACACGGAATCCGATCCTGTGAAAATTGCTGTTGAGGGAGTCGATACGTTTAAGAAAGAAAACTGTGATCTCATTATTGTTGATACCAGTGGTCGCCATAAACAAGAAGCTACTCTCTTTGAAGAAATGCGTCAAGTTGCTGAAGCAACGGTATGCTCTGTTGCCTTGAAGTCTTCTTTTGTTCCTGGTTGATGTTGCAGACTCTGATCAAGGTATTTTTACTTTACAGAAACCAGATCTTGTTATATTTGTTATGGATAGCAGTATTGGTCAAGCTGCATTTGATCAAGCTCAAGCATTTAAGCAAAGTGTTGCTGTTGGAGCTGTAATAATTACTAAGATGGACGGCCATGCCAAGGGTGGTGGTGCTCTTAGCGCGTAAGTATCTTGTAGCTACTGAATGTACTTGAAATGGTCAATATGAAATTCTTGTAGGCTTAACCAGTTGGAGAAGTGAATTTGAGCCATTTTCATTTTGTTAGTGTTGCAGCTACGAAAAGTCCTGTGATATTTATCGGAACAGGAGAACATATGGATGAGTTTGAAGTGTTTGACGTCAAACCATTTGTCAGCCGTCTCTTAGGTAACTTTCATGGCATTGATTTAGCATTGTGAGTAATCAAAGGCTTCTCATGGGTTGTTGAGTCAGAATCTTTATAATGTTTATGTGCAATAGGAATGGGTGATTGGTCTGGATTCGTGGATAAGCTACAAGAGGTAGTACCTAAAGATCAACAGCCTGAACTTCTGGAAAAGCTCTCTCAGGGTAACTTTACATTGAGAATTATGTACGACCAGTTCCAGAACATACTGAACATGGGTCCACTTAAGGAGGTCAGAGTCTCTTTCCTAATAATGTCTCTTTTCAAATATTATTAGGCTTGAACAGCTCAAGGACTTGATTATAAAACGTGTGAGGTGTTGGTGTGTGTGTGTGTAGGTTTTCTCAATGCTGCCTGGAATTAGTGCTGAAATGATGCCAAAAGGACATGAGAAAGAAAGCCAGGCAAAGATAAAGCGGTACATGACAATGATGGATTCTATGACAAATGATGGTAAGAACAATAATATATCTTATTTGGAAAAAGTGTTTCAGTAGAAATAATCAGAGTTGTGAGCAAAAAAGTGATGGGTGGTTTGTGGTTTGTGCAGAACTGGACAGCTCAAACCCAAAGGTGTTTAACGAGTCACGGATGATGCGGATAGCAAGAGGGTCAGGGAGGCAAGTAAGAGAAGTGATGGAGATGTTGGAAGAGTACAAGAGGCTAGCGAAAATATGGAGCAAGATGAAAGGACTCAAGATCCCGAAGAATGGAGATATGAGTGCACTCTCAAGAAACATGAACGCACAACATATGAGCAAGGTCCTCCCACCTCAGATGCTCAAGCAGATTGGCGGCATGGGCGGTCTGCAGAGTCTTATGAAGCAGATGGGTTCCGGCAAGGACATGATGGGAATGTTCGGTGGTGGAGACAAGTAGTTTCTTTCTTTCTTCCTTCCTTTCTTGCACACCCAAAAACTAGACCTTGTTACGTTGTCATTATTAGAGTTTTTCCCCTTCTGTATTTGTAAAATATTTGCAAATTTTCTCCAATTTTACGAAAAGAGTTTTATACAAAAAGAGTTTGGTAATCAAAGAGTGATTGGATCAGCACGAAAATGTCTTGGATCCAGTCGCAGATAAATCAAACCGTGACATTACATGTTGAATAGTAATCAAATCATTTTATACCAAAAAAGAGTTTAGGAAACAAAATTCAGCTTTGAACAGATCCTCTTAGTCTCCTTGAATCGTAAGTACAATAAGTAGAAGAAGGACGTAGAAGAAACAATAAAAGAATGAATTAAGAATCATTTTTAACTTTCACCAAAATTTGTGACCCCTTTATCTGTCTTTAGCTCCCAGAAGAAACATGAACAATTAGCTCCGAGAGATTCAGTCTTCGAGGGTCGTTAGTCTTTTTTCTATGTTGCAATTATCCACTTTTACTGAACCTACAAATTAAGTAAAATTTTCAGACATAAGAGGATACTGATACTGTTGTGATAGTAAATGAGATAGAAATAAAGTTAAGTTTTTACTTGTTGTCTAAAGAGGAAGAAGAGCAAGATCTCATTCCAGATATCAGGTACTCCAGGTAGACACCAATGACTACAATCAGGTACCAAAGGATTATCGCTCCATAAACCGACATGACCATCGCTTCTAAACGCTGACATCGAAGTTACATCCAATATTGATACCGGAATTGTCATGTTCTTAACTACTTCTTTGATCATTTCAGAGAATATGCTTTTGTCTCTTCCTTCAGTATCTGGGGCTGGATACTTTGTCACATTGCATGATCTATGATCGCTAAACAACAACAACAACAACAACGAAAACAACAAGAAATTAGATTCAGGCTGATCTAAGCATATGTAGAAAACGAAGGGGTTAAGCTAAAAAGTTCGGTTTGTACCTCCAATGCGATGGCTCAAATGTACGAAACAAAACCCGGGTTTTGTTTGGATCTATTGTATTCTCTATCCATGATGCCCATGTCTCTAATGCTACTCTATACGCTGCAGGAATTGACATTCCGAGCCTCAATGAATTTCCAACCTGAAAGTAACAACCACTGACATTCCAAAACACAATTAGAAACAGACGAAAAATATACGAATTTCGATCACAAACTCTCTATAAAATCTATAAGGCTTTCAAGACAACTTACGTTTCAAAAAGCTTCCCAGGCACCCACCATTGACCAGTATTGAATATGAGAAAATCCGCTGAGCTCCATTCGTGGTTAATAACATCTAAAACGTCTAATTTTAACGTTGACTTTACACGTTTTGGTGCGTGCCAACGCAGCCTCCCAGGCTGAACTAAGAAAACCGATCGGTAGAACTCAACTGTAAAATTAAAGGAACTAAACCTCACACCCAAAAACCGTATCCTTTTTGTTATATTGTTCCCATTGACTTCATAAACACTCCTTTTATCTTCCAACCCTGTCATTAACATACATATCAAAGACTCCCACTGCGTTCTACTCATCGAATCTCCAACAAAAACTATCCTTTTACCTCTTAATCTCTCCAATACGTCACGCACTTCAAATCTTGGAACAGTACAATGCTTAGGCTTCCACCTCCACTTTAAATACTCGTCGTGTTCACGCCCGTTCCCTAAGCAATTGAATCCTTTCTCTACAAATGGACACTCCGAAGCGTTATATAACGGGTAGTTATCATCAACAACCCAATTCCCATCGAATATGTCACATTCCCTATCACCCGCAACAGAGCTGTTAAACTCCAATGCCCCATTGTAACCCAAGAACGTTTGACCGAGGCTAGGAACAACATACAAATAACCCCCAGCGATGATAACAAGAAACGACACAATAGTTCCGGCGATAATTAGCACCTGAAACAAATATGAGATCTCTTTTAACCGGTTAGTAGACGGGCGTGGACTTCCTCCAAAGTTCTGTGATCTCGGGCTAGCGAAAGCTGAGCCAATGGGACTAGTGAAGACACTAGAAGAAGAGTTCCTAGGGCTTTCTATAGCTAAGGAACTCAATGCCCTTCTATTGAATGATGAACTCTTGGTGAAATTACTCATTGTTTTCTTAATGATTCAACTGCAACCGCATTTTCGGCATTCAAAACCACAAAGAAAGATTCAATCTCTTCTAGCTCTTTCGTTTCCACTTCTATCGAATCCGAATTCTAATCCCATCATGCAAAAGAAGAACCATCCAATAACAACAAAAACACACTGCAAGATCAATGTCGAACACAGAGATGATCCAATCTCTTAGGTGTAACCTAACAGTTGAAAAGACATGATTTTGCCGCAAACCCAGAGATAAACAGATCGAATCTCTAAATGGGTATCGTTCAAATCCGTGGAAAAACCAACCGAATCGGAAGAAGAAGCAATGGAATCCAAAATCAAGATTAGAATTTGAGCAGAGAGACTTGGAGGTTCTTTGAATGCGTAGAAGAAATCAAGACGCGGTTTGATTGAGATTGGAGATCAGAGGAAGAGAGAGAGAGAGAGATCGGCGAGGAAAGAGGACACTGTCCGATTCCGATGTCTGCTCCTTAATTAAAATTACTAAATTTTATTAAAGTTGGATGCTTCAAGTTCAAGATTTGGAAAAAGGACAATTTTGTAAATTTAGAATATTAACAAAAATATTTAAAAAAATTGGAAAATTTGTCTTTTAAGAATGTTCTGGTCATTGATCCTTGTCTTTGATGTTGTATCCATTTAAAGAAGATTATGATGGCGAAACATCATCAACCAAATGATTAATTTATCGTTAATTCGGATAATGTACTATGGTTGTTGTTCTGTTACTAAACAGAGGTAAAGAGACAGAAGTTAGGTAATGTAGTTAAATGCAATTATTAATAATGATGGGACACAGTAGATTCATGCTTTGTCAATTAGGTGCTATTACTGATTAAGATTTCAGATTTTATTTTACAAATCATATAACCTAACCAAGAAGAAGATTGAGCAAAAGAGTTCAGATTAAGATCGAAACTGGTAAAGAACAAAAAGCGTTACAAGACAAAAATCAACATCTAACTTGTTGTTCTACCTTTTCTATAATCTGACAACACAGAACCGATAAATGGAACCTTTGTCCTGCTCTGCTCTGCTAAATTATTAAATCCAACAAAAAAAAAAATTCCTTTTCTAAATCCGACAAAATCTCTGCGGAATATCTATATCTACACACAACTGAAGACCAAGAAGCAAACATTAGCTTGCCTGATTCTTCACCTACCTCAAAGTGAAGTAGAAGTTTTTAACATTTCTCAGCAGCTCCAGCTTTTATGGTGGTTTTCAATTTAGAGAAACAATGGAGTTCCATTTAATTTAGCTCTTCTTAACTTTGCTAACATATGCCTGGAAGTTGAAGACAAGAACTTGGTTAAAAAAACCTCAAGCGATTGCGAATTTGGTGTTAAGCTTGAAATAAGCGTTGTATGAACAAACAAACATACCTGAACAAGCTTGGTAAGCTTTGGTTTTGAAGCTGATAGATAATGGTCGATCTTCTCTTGTGTTTGAGGAATGTTTCCGGTCTGAATTGCTCCCGTTACTTTGTCAACGACCTTCTTGACTATGTTTTTGTAAGCATCTTTGTTCATCCCACCTTCTTTCCAAGCAGGTTTTAGAAGCTCCTTGACAATTTCAACTAGAGCAAATTTGAACGCTCTCATTCCTTTGGGATCTTTTTCTTTCTTGTTGTCTTCATCGACCGCCCCATCATCTTCTTCTTCCTCTACTACGTTCTCAGTATCCTCCGCGGTGTCTTTTTTTTCTCCAGTCTTTCTCTCATCTGGCTCTTTGCTAGCTTCTTCATCTGTCTTTTTGTCCACGTCTTCTTCAGAAGAAGCCTTTGGATTTCCAGCTAATGAGATCACAATTTCGGGAATCCGCACTTGTTCTGTGTCGCTGTTGTTTATCGGTAATGCGGTTACCGCTGGAACTCCTCCAGTATGAATAGAATTATTACTGGGGAGGTCACTTTGAGTATGTGAAGACTGTTCCTTTTTTCCATATACTTCAGGCACCTGCATTGCCTGTTTGGGATTCAAAGTAGATTGAAGCTGTGGAATTGGCTGCCCGTTTCCAAAAAACTGTGCTAGAGATGCTGAGATGTTGCTAATGTGATTGAGCTCTTCCCTACTCACAGTGTTTTGAGCATTTCCGTTCTCCGGATTGCCCGAGTTTAAGCCTCCGGGAAGGTTTGTAACAGCAGGTAGCAGCACTTGACTTCCTCCAACCGCTAGTGGTGTGCTTTGGTAAGGCACTGCACTATGATTCTCAATGTTCTGGCTGAATGCTTGGACCGGAGGAGCCGAGGTAGCGAGGTTGTTACTGAAACTGTGATGCGCAGAAGCTACAGTTTTTTCACCCACAGTTGAAAACATACCAATATTCCTTCGATTTCCATCTTGCTGAGCTACTGCTGCAGCACCATGCTCATAAGCAGGTGCTAAAGCATCTTTAAGGACTCGTGATTGTGAGCTCTGAGATACGCCGCCGTGCTCTTCATTCACGGGTTTCTTCAAAGTTTTAACACCATAATTCCAATCTGGAGACATCTCCATATCATCAATCCAGCTGCTATTATTCCCCTTAGCTTCAGACATACCTTTACTGACACGAAAAATTTCGACATCACTGGACTTTCCTGCATCTGATCTTTCAGTATCGTTCCATCTATGACTGTTTCGCATCCTCTCTGTCGTGCCACTATGATTATTATTGTCCTGTCTACTATAAATCTCGTTTTGCGGCTTTCTCTCAGGACTTCCCCTTACAGGAGCACCATGGTGTGAAAACCTACAATTGTTTCCATTGCGACAATACCCTGAACCTGAAGCAAAAAATCTGCATGGAACATTGGAGCTCCTGTGGAATTCTCCCTCGGGAACATCCCTTCTCTGCGTTTCTCTCTCTCTCGCTAACTCGTTTCTATGGCTTCTAATGGTTGGATCTAGAGTTTCTCTTCTTGAGTTATGATTCTCCTCTAGAAAATCAGAGCTATAGTCAGTCCTGCCACCGACCCTCACGGGCTGTTGTTCCCGGGAATCTTCTGTATAGTAGTTGGTATCCCTTGTCTTTCTATTCTTAGCCTCCCAATCATAGTCACCAGCTCTATTGTATCTACCATCAAATTCTCTCCCTGACCTTGGAGAAACCCGTGCTCTCGACTTGTGTTTGTCATAGGATCCTCCTCCATCTCGCCTTACTCTCTGCAATGGGCTTCGGCTCCTGCTCCTACTCCTGCTGTTACTTCTACTTCCACTCCTGAACAAAGCACAAAAGCCAAGCAAAAATCAATCAAGCGTACTATGTCTGAAAATCAAAGTACTATGTTTGAAAATGAGAAACAAAGAAAATCATAGATTAGTAAAACGATACTGACCTACGGGCTCTAGACCGGTCCCTCGAAGGTGACTGGCGGAGATACTGTTGCCTGCTCTCATCTTGTTCAGAAGACTTTCTAGGATCATAGTAACCCATCATGGCATCACCGTCATCATGTGAAACTCTGCTTCTGGACGGCCAAGCCTCTCCTGAGTGTTGTCTAGATTTCAAATGCTCAACGTCATCATCGGGACCAGACCTCCTACTTCCATTTCTACCATTACCCTCTGGATAGAACCGTGCATGCTCGGGATCTTTGTAACCTGATTTCCCAGGGTAATCATTTCCAGTAAGATGCTGAGTGTCTTCTTCCTTGGTATCCCATTTAGAAACACGTTTTCTCCCCGAAGCACTCATATTCACCCGTAATTAGGCCACAAACTAGTACAGAATATCTAGTGGGATAATCTGCAGAGAGAACCAGTGTACCAAAAAAGCTGGTCATATGGAGCTTGAAACTTATAAACCTGTTTGTGCTCAATGGTAAAGATCCAATTTTGAAACACTAAAGGAGAAATATATCACAAATTATAGCCAAAAGGCAGGAATGAGTAAGATTCTACACCAAATTAAACTATCTAATTGCCGAATTTCTTCGACAGAGGAGAGATCAAAGGCCTGAAGTCTGAATCCGATATAAAAATCTAATCTTTCAAATGAATAAGAGTGATTTCGAAGATCCTATCTGAAACTGAAGGAAACAATGGTGAAACAACTACTTAGAATGTAGCTAAGATGGGTTCCGACCACTACTCACGACACACAAGTAACTGGGAACTAAATTCGAATCCCTAGTCTAAATTTGGAATTTTTTCGAATTTCTTGAAACCCTAAAATCAAAATGGTATAATAGTATTGAGAGAGAGAGAGAGAGAAGAATAAGGAGACTCACGTGAATTTAGAGAAGGAGAAATCGAGAGAGAGACAGAGAGACAGAAACCCTAGTAGCTTGGTTCTTCTCCTGCAAATTAACAATCTTTCGACGCGTATCTAACGAAGCTTCATTGTTTTTAGGGTTTCCAGAGGAGAGTAGGAAATTGTCGAATGAAGAAGACCAAGGACGATGACTTTTTTCGTACTTTCTAATTTCTTCTTCTTCTTCCAGTTCCCAGTTTGAGCCCAAAAAGGCTCTTCTTTTAGGGTCGAACTTGTTTTTGCTCTGCGCGTGGTGGGACCCGCCCATAGTTTTTTTTTTTTTTTGCTGCAGTTACAAACTCTAATCGTAGCCGTTGATTTTATTTTAATGTCAACCGTTGGATATGTGTGTATCCTCTTCCTGAGGAAGATCTAGGAACTAAGACCATATACACTGGTGAATTTTGCCCAGTATCATTAGCCCAAAAACTATTTTATAATAGAGCAAACCACTTAATTGGGCCTGATACGTATCAGTGGACTGATACTTATGATACTCAGTTTCATGTGACGTGTCGGTTTGCCATTGGTTCGTGTATTTTTTGGTTAAAACAGAGAAAAAAAATTCTTTTCTCCAACTCTCTCTCGCCTCTTTCTCAACTCTCTCTCGAAAACCAGCAGTCGGTTTCCGCCGAACGTCGATGCTCATCTCCGGCCACCGGGTTTGATTCCGAACTGACCTGTTAACCCGTTTCTTCAGAACGCTAACCCTAATCCTAATTTGATTCAACAAGCCAATAATTTCCAGCAACAGCAACAGATGATGATGATGATGATGCAACAACAGCAACAACAACAACAGCAGAAATTGATGCGTCCATCGAATCAATTGGAGATACAATTCGCTTACCAAGACGCTTGGCGTGTTTGCCATCCTGATTTCAAGCGACCTTTCGCTTCTCTCGAAGACGCTTGTGAAAGGTTCGTCTAATTCTGTTTTTCCCAGTTGTTTTTTTTTTACAGAATTGAATTGATTTTATGGGTTGTTCTTGAAATCTCTGGGTTTATTGATTTCTTGAAATGGTTCTTTGAGTGAATTGATTCTCTTGTAGTCATTAGTTTTATAGATTCTGTAGAGGAATATCCAACTCATAGTGTCTCTATCACCATTTTATCATAGAGGCCAATGCTTTATCTGTATCATCATTTTATCATAAAGCTTTGTTGGAGTTCTTCAACTTGATTGCTGGAAATTTTTCTATGTTCAATTTATGCATCAGATCTCCTGGTTTCATTTGGTGCATATATGAACTATTTATGCTCTTGCTGAATCCAATGTGGAATTATCTCTTATGAAGTTTGCTATATATAATATATCCAGGGCTATGAATTTTATCATAAAGGCCAATGTTGCGGTTTATCTCAGATTACTCAAGTGATTCGTGAGTATAGGAAAACTGGTTACAGAGTGCCCATGGCTGTATTGGTATGTTAACTTGACTTTGCTTTCTTTTGTGGACTTGCTTATTATATGGTTAATCAAGATCATATGTCATATACTAAAGTAGTTTTCTTTTCCTCACGGTCACGGGTCTGTCTTCATTGTGCAAGGCTTCAAGAAAACATTACTGCACTAATCGTCATGTACTTGTGAATCTCTCTCTCTCTTGAAGATTTTTTAGGCTATGAGTTACTTTGGCTTACGTTTTAAAGTGACTCTTAATACTAAAAGAAAGGTTTTTGCTTGAATTTTCTTCGCATGAGATGGATGATGGCCATTTGATGGAGCATCAAATAGCGAAGAAGGATGGAGCGCCCAAGATGGGTTAAGCAAGTTTGATTCTAGAGTGAGTGCAGCAGAAGATGAAGCTAATTCAATTGATATGATGGATACGTCACAACCAATAGAAACAGAAAATAGAAATTATGTAACTCTGTTTCGGTTTGTTTTTGTAACTTGATTTATGACTTATAACTTTGTTTTATTTTAGATTTGGTTTTGGATTTTTAAATTTATTTATATACTAATGAAGATTAAAAAATTTTGATAACCAAATACACAAATTTTTAAAAATCAGTCACAGCGATAACAAACTTGCGATTAGTGGCAGCGATCAATCGCGAAACTGAAAAATGAACAACTTTGCGAATATTTTTGATTTTGCAAATAATTTTTTTTTTTATGATACTTAAACCGGTCTCACCAATGGAAACAGATTTATTATCAGTATCATAAAAAATCTCAAATAATAAACAAACATTAAAATTAATACTAAAAAATGTTAATGATACTCATACAGTATCAACTATGTGCATGCTCTAAGGGGGTGTTATTGGTTTGGGATTTAGAAAGACTTTTAGTGACTTGATAATAAAGGATTTTAAAAGATTGTTAAAGATTGTTATATTATCTTGATGATTTATTTTCCAAAATCTTGTAAAGTCTTTAAAACTTTTTTCCATAATCTTGTATACTCTTGATGACTTTTCCTAACTTTTCCTACAAAATATTTCCAAAATCTTGTCCAATTTTTATTAACGTCTAGTGACCATCTTCTATCTTCTATATAACATGTTCTGTGTAGGTCTAGTTTTCTTCTATATACTAGGTTGTTTATCAGAGTTACAGAGGTACGTATCTTCTATCATAATACTCGCTTATGAATTTCGTGTGTCGATCGTTAGATTCTTGTATGTTCATATAATATTTAATTGTTTTCATTGTGTTTGGATCTTTTGATTCTCTAGCACCAAAATCTATAAAATTTGCAAAAGTCAAGTGATGTGATACGTTTGGTTTAATAATATATACATGCGGAGATTTGCTTATGCTGTGATACGTTTGGTTTTGTGACAAGTCAATGGTCTTTTTTTTTTGATACGTTTGATTTGCTTATCATGATCATAATAATTCATAAGTGTAGATGTGATACGTTTGGTTTAATATTAGGATGTTTGAATGTGAAAAAAATGTCAATAAGATTTGCTTAGTCAAAGATAAGTTGTTTGAATATCGGACATCCTTATGTTTTATATTCATCTGTAACAAATGCTTTTAGTCAATGGGAGATTCCCAAAAGAGTAAGGAAAAGGGTCCATACAATCAATGGGGACCAGAGGAGACAAAATTGTTGGTAGAGTTACTTGTTGATGCAGTTCACCGAAATTGGCGTGATAATAGCGGTATCTTTAGCAAGCTAACGGTGGAGCAAAAGATTTTACCAGTTCTCAATGAAAGACTTGGATGCCAAAAGAATCACACTCAGTACCTAAGTAGATGGAAGTACTTGAGAGGCCTATACCAAAATTATTTAGACCTTCAACGCTTCAATTCTGGATTTGGATGGGATAATGAAATGAAAATGTTTACCGCTCCGGATGAAGTGTGGGACGAGTACTTGAGGGTATGTATTTGATAAATCTTTAAGCATATAACATTTTGTTTCAAATATATCTTATGATTAATTTTTTTTTATCTACAGAAACATCCTAAACATAAACATCTACGATATGAGTCAAATGAACAATTTGAGGATCTTCAAGTCATATTTGGATGTGGTTTAGCTACTGGTGGTTCCGCAATTGGAATGGGTGATACCATTGATGCTCGAACCATTAGAACTGGGGAGAGTACAAGAGTGAGAGATAACATAATCGTTGATGAAGTTTTTGAACTATCATCTGAAGAGCCATTAGCATCACCAGAATGTGATATGTCACCCATTCGAGGTACAAATCCAAAAGGGAGGGTGGATAAACTTCGTCCAAGGAAGAGGTCTAGAACCTTAGCTACTAGCAATGTAGATAAGCTGAAAACTGATGAGGAGGATCCTATGATCATAGTTAGTAATAGGATCCTTAATGTCATACAACAAAGAGAAGAAAGACAACAGAGAGAAGCTGAGAAAAGAGAAGAAAATCTAAGACGGGAAGTTGAGGAAAAAGAAGCTGAAAAGAAAAAAAACAATGTTTGGGAAGCGATGAAGGAAATTCCTAATTTAGAGAATCATATTCGCTACAAAGCAGTTACCTTGATTCACTCGCTTGGAATGAAAGATGTCTTCATAGACATGTCGGTAGAAGAACGTTTTGGTTGGATTCAGAGCAATGTTGGCTCTATATAATATTGCTTTTGAGTTTTCTTTTATATTTATATCTCTTGTTTGGCGAGACAATATTTTCAAGTTGGTTATTGAATTTGGTTTCATATAAGTTCTATTGAAATTGCCATTGATTTTTATTCCCAAATATTTTTTTTTTTGTGTGTGTATACGGTTTGATGCATGGTGGAGTAGGGTGAACGTTTGTCAAACATAAACACGTCAAATATTCCTTTATTTGTTTGTGTATACGTTAGTGTTCATGTTTATAATTTTAAGCTGATTTTTAATTACTCTTTGCAGGGAATTATGGAGAGCACCATTGTAAGAGAGGATGAAGATGACGAATCAGAAATGGATATTTTGCTATTACTACTGAAAAATACGACGAGAGCTTACTTCACGAATAAACGTATTGAGCGTCCGATTCGTAAGCCTATCACAAGAATTGGCTACATTTACCTCGAGAAACTTTTGAAGAAAGATCATGACCGCTTTCGAAAGGTTATACCGTATGTATCCTGACGTTTTTTTGAAGTTATGTGATATTATCAGAGAAAAAACATCTTTAAGAGGTACCCGCCAGACTTGTCTTGAAGAAATGGTGGCTACATTTTTGCTCACCATTGGTCAAAATTCGAGATATAATTATACAATGGACACATTTGAGAGATCAAAGTTTGCTGCAAGCACAAATTTTCACAAGGTTTTAAATGCATTAACCACTATTGCACCAAGTCTTATGGCCAAACCTGGACTCATGTGGATGTCGGATTCACACACTTGAATATTTGTTTATTTTGTGGGAATGAATACTCTTGAGGGCAAAAATACGATACAAAAAGCTATGAATTGAAATAGGAATGACTATAGTGTATTTGCTGGAAAAATTGCGTATCTCCTACATGGCTATTAGCCCTCTTATTTATATTGACAATCGACATTTAACTCTCAATTAAACATAATTATTCTCTCTTAAATGCGTCCGTTTTGGTCTTCGAGTTTTAATGCCCAATGTTTGAATTTGAATTGACTCCGATCTTCATGGGCTTCGCCTTTTGGCCCAAGTCATCCGACTTCGATTCCGAGTCATATCCCGAGGTGTGACCACTCCGGGCTCTCTCTCTGATGACGCCCACTTCGATTATATCTTGTGATCCATGGGCTTAATGGGCCTTATCCTTTGCGGGCCTTCATCTTGATTACGTGGCAATCTTTGGTTGGTCCCGGTCCACTGGTGCGGGATCCGACACCAACAATTAGCCCCCCAAGTCTTTCGAAGTGCTTGTTCCAATTCGGAAGGCTTAATCGTCTTAATGACCAAAGATTGCGTTATGAGGAATCTTCTGATTTTCCCGCCAGGATCCCATCAATCCTTTAATTTCGGCGCTTTTCCATGTTTGATCGCGTGACATCTGTCACCATTATGACCGCATATCGTTTATTTACTATAAAGCGGGGAAAA